ATTCCTCTTCTTCCTGAGAAAGAGCAGAAACACTAGGCTTTCTCTTCAGTGGCAGTGTCCTACCGGGCTTTTATGAAGAATATATTTCCCCATATGTCTGGGAGTCCACATGTGATCTTGATCGTTGTTGCCTAATAAACACAACATGAATTCCCACTCAAAGGCAACTAATGGGTACTTCCAGCACAATTTTCTACACACAGTAAATGAATTAGTGGAAAAGTTTGCTTTCTGTAGCTCCTTTGGTGGGCAAGGGAATATTACAAGGGACTTTGGATAAGTCTTTGCTTGGATGATAGTCCCATAAAAGAAGAATTATTCTACAACGCTGCCTCTGTATAGGAAAACAGTGTGATTTTTATTCAGGATTTATTTTTATTTTTATATATTTATTTTTGTGTATGTGCAGGCTCTCACTATGCAGCTCCAACTCATAGTGATCCTCCTATTTTCAGCCTCCCCAGTGCTAGGATTACAGGTATGCACCACCATGCCCGTACTCTATTGCTGGCTCAGCACTCCTGAGCATAGGGCCAGTACAGTCTGCAGTGCTAGGGACTGAACCCTGGCCCCTGTGCTTGCCTAAGCAAGTGCTAAGTCTGCTGAGCCATCTCGATGGCCCTTTATTCAGGATATAAATAGCCATTTGAATTATATTCTATCATCTCTGGAAGTGGTACCTTCATCTGGCTGGAAATAAAATTTGGATAATAACTGAATAGCTTTCATAGATAGGGTATTTTTGATGTGGTTAAGAGATAGTTTATATACATGTTACTGGAAATGAAAAAAAAAATTCACCCCAAACTATATAGTTTTCATCTTAGCCAAAATTGTCTTTGTGCATGAAAGTTACAGAAACTGAATATATGATAGAGAAGATTTAATATGTGTGCATTTCTGGAGTGCTTTTGGCTAATCATATTTTAACAAAAGTTAATGGCAAAGTAATAGAAATAATGAGCTGAAGTGAAAATCTATTATGAGTTTGATGAGCAGAACATTCTGAACCAAAGGATGTTAGCAGAGAAAATCCCTGTGGAACATTTTACTTCTTAGTATTTCTGAATTTTATTAGTGTTAGTATTCGGATGGACATGATTGATAAATGAACCTAAGCGAATGTGTGCTGCTGATCTTCAGAAGATATGGTGCAAAGCCTGAATATCGCTTAAAGAAAAAGAGTAAAAAGTAATTTTAAAAGTCTCAAAAAGACTTCATCTCTACCTCTATCATCTTAGAACTGATGACATTTATTTGCACATAACCTATAAGGCTGATGATGAGAGGGGTAAATAAGGAGTCAGCTAGCATAAGGCTCTATTCTAAGGGCACTAAGTAAATAAGAAGTAAATGATATGAGTGGCAATACCAGGAACAGATAACAGAAGGTCTGGGCTTCTGATGGGCCAAGAATGGTCACTGAGGGAGATGGCTAAAGAACACAGGTCGCCCGAGTGACTTAGTTCTGGAGAGCATCAGCTTCCTGAAAGGCTTACGGGAATTGTTCCCTGACTCCTGGTAACAGAAATATATGCCAGCATTTAATGACTCAAAGGTTCAGATGCAATTGTTTTTATTCATAGCCCAGCTACCAGTACAAGCTTCATAATGATTCCAGAAAACATCTACTGAGTGCCTAGTCGGTACTGTGTACTAGTCAATGTATTTCACATAAAAAAGTTAGCTCAATATTTACAACTCAGAAGAGTTACCACCTTAAGTCCAAATTTTACAATAATAAAGCCATAGGTAATTTGTTAAAAGCTGATAATCTGGAGGATAGACAGGACAACTGAATTCCTTTTTTACACCCTGGATTAAACTGTTACCAACAATGTTAAAATGGTTTGTAAGTTATGAATGTCAGAGTGACAGAGCTCATCCTCATTAAGAATCATGAAATTGGACTGATGGTATGGCTCAGAGGACTGAGCACTTGATTAGGTAAGTGCAGGGGCCAGGGTTCAATGCCTGGCACTGTATGCTGTGCCGGCCCCGCCCCCAGGCCCACTGAGCCAGCAGTGGAGTCTGGACATGGTGGTGTGCACGCCTGTAATCTCAGAACTTAGAGAGGCAGAAAATAGGAGGATCACTATGAGTCCAAGCTGCAGTGAGACCTTGCATACACACAAAAAAAAACAAAAAACTTAAAAAAAAGAATTATGAAATCGAGGAGTTCAAACTTTGTAGCTCATTTTATGTGACTGTTTTGCATATAATTTTAGGGTTTGAAAAGTGATTAGTACATTTTTTCATGTTTAAATATTTCCTTTACATTATCATTTTAATTCAGTTTTTCCAATATAATGTTAACCATTTTTTTATATATGAAACTTCCAGTGTGATAGGCAAGATTTCCAATCATTTTTAAAAATGAATCCAAAACATCTGTAAAATTGTTACTGAAGGAGAAGTCTCCTTCATGGAACGCCTCCACCCTAGTTGTAGATAGATGAGCCGGGAAGCAACCTCACACGAATCGTGTGCATACCCGCGCTCCCAGGAAGCAAAGCACGACTTTACTCTGCACCAAATGGGAAATGCCCGCAACGCAAAGCTTTCGTCATCTGAACAGTGTCTGGTAGCTCTCTTGCTATGTAAATTTATATTGCCAACTATTACTGAATGGTAGGCATGATTTACAGAAGCAAAATGACCTAAAATTTTCATAAGAAATCAAGTTATCAGTATAAGTGAGATACTGTTCAAAGGAATGCTAAGAATATATACTCGGAATTTTATATATATAGACTGCGTTCTTCATGAAATATAAGACAGAAAATTATGGTGACAAAGTATTTCTAAAAATGGTATGTTGTTACTATTCATGTTGTTTTTTTTTTTTTTTTTTTTTTAGTTGCAGTGTTGATAGTCTAACCCAGCACATGCAGGGCAAGTGTTCTACAGTTGAGCTATACTCCCAGCCCAGCTATACCCCCAACCCTCTATTCTATTGTTTTTTCTGTGTTTATAAGATCTGTGGAGAAATCAATTTCTCATGCCTGATAGTGATGAATTTTCTTCTAATCTAGAGATTTGTCATCCCCCCCCCCCTTTTATCC